CCCAACACAAGCCTGTGCGATAGGAGTGGCAACCTTCTTAGCAAGCATTGCCGATGCACCAGGCACTGTGCTAGGTGGGCCACGCGTGTCGTCTTCAAGGGTCACAACCCTCTTCGAGGCTGCTACGATCACTCCCATTTTACAGATGGGAAAGCGGAGGCACATGGTCAAGGTCACAGAGTGAGGGGCATCCCTGAGATTCAAAGCTGGAATGGTCAGCATGATCCATGGAGCACCTCAGCTGCTGCTAAGGTCTTGGGTTCCCAAGACCTCCAAGAGAGGAGAGCTGGCCACGAGGTCCTGCTGGCAAGAGGCCACCTCCATGTCCAGCCTCGACCAGCTGGGAAGGGAGCAGCAAGTGGGGAGGAGCAGAGTTGTGCAGGGCCACAGGAATCCAGGGAACAATGTGTGCCCCAACTATCAGGCCCTTCACCCATCTGAAGCCACTCGGCAGCCTCCTGGCTGCCTGGTGCGGCCACAACACAGACACAGCAGCCACTGTGTCTGCCCAGCCACGGGGTGGGGCGTCCGGGCCCAAGGCCTGCTCTGCGGCCTGTCAGGAGATTTACACCCGACTCTTAACAACTGCGCGGAATCGCAGGCGGGTGCTGGGCCCGGGGTGGTCTGCTGTGAATTGGCCCCCTGTGAGCAGATGAAAGCGGGTCGGTGGCTGGGCAGGGAATCGGTTTGGCGGGGGGCCAGCAGCAGGGAGGCGAGCTCCCCCCAGGGCTGCAACTGGGGCTTCCAGTGGCCTGGGGTTGATTAGGGGAACCCGGGAGGTCTGAGGTTAACCCCTTCCCTCCTGCTGGGTTTTGGCGGGGGGCCAGCAGCAGGGAGGCGAGCTCCCCCCAGGGCTGCAACTGGGGCTTCCAGCGGCCTGGGGTTGATTAGGGGAACCCGGGAGGTCTGAGGTTAACCCCTTCCCTCCTGCTGGGCGGATTCCCTTGGCACCCCTAGGCCTGCTCTCAGCCTGGGGGATGTTCCTGGGGAGTGTGGGGTCAGGGGCAGTAACCTCTCTCCAGCCTAGGCATCCCCGCTTCCCCACATTCGGAGCTAAGGAAGAGACTGTGGCAGCTTACAGACCCTGAGGGGCCCGGCTGCAGGCTTAGGGTCACTTTTACTGCTCACGCCACGCCCCCGGCTGCCACACCTGGCCGTCTGGGTCACTTCCTTCAGGCCTCTGCTAGAATGTCACCTCTTCAGAAGCCCCATCCCCTGACTCTCCACCCCTTCTCCCAGCCTTGTTCTTCTTCCTTGTACTTCTCACTACGTGAAATTAAATTATTTGTTGACTTCATTTATTCATCAAATATTTATCAGGCACCTACTAAGTGCTCGTGTCTGCATTCCCAGGGTCTATTTGTCTGGAAAAGCAGAGAAAAGAACCCTCGCCCTGTGGAGCCTATGTAATAGTGGGGGGAGATGGATAATAAATGAAATAAATGAATGAGCTATGCAGCACCTTAGAAAGTGATCAGTGCTCAGGGTAAAATGGAAGCCGGGGAGGGTAGGGGAGAGTGGTGGGCGGCTGTGCATGTGCAATATCTGCAACAGGCTGGCCACTGAGACGCTTGAGTGGAGACCTCAGGGTGGGAAGAAGGGAGCCACGTATCTGGGGGTGTCTGAGGAGGAGTGTTCCAGGCAGACGGAACAGCAGTGCAAAGGCCCTGAGGCAGAAGTGTGCCTGGCAAGTCTGAAGACCAGCTGGGAGGCTGGGTGGCCGGAGCAGGGTGAGCAAGGACGAGGGGACAGGAAAGAAAGGCAGGGGGGCTACAGCACAGATTAGGTGGGACCTTGAGGGCCATGGCAACAACACTCATTCCCCATCTCGCCTAGTGCTGGGAGTACAGTCCCCAAGAGGGAAGGAACCCACTTGGTGGGTTCACTGTGGTGTCCCCAGCACAGGGAACATTGCCTGACACATGGTACGTTCCCCGAAAACATTTGGTGAAATCATTCCATGTACATTTTGGGGAGGAAAGGGCCCACATGGAAGATCCCAGAAACCCCTGCCCCCTCTGCCTCAGGCAGGCTTAAAAACCTGGGTCCTATTCTTCCATGTACCAGCACCCGCTAAGCCTGGAAGATGGTGTTAGCCATTCCCAAATCTGGTCCACACCAGAATCGCCACATGATGTACCACCTCCCACACGAATCCTGGGTCTGGTGCAGCAACCTGCTTTCTTAACCAGCCCCCAGTGACTCTGAGGGACACCAGCACTGAGAACCTCAGAAACCAAGGCCACACAGGCAGGAAGCCACCAAGCCAGCCTTCAAACCCAGCTGGCCACCTGGCTGCAGGTCAGGCATGCTCTGCAGGGCACCAGAGGGGAACGACCCGGCCACAGAAGCCACAGCCGGGCCTCAGGGATCTGCGGACTCCCACTCCTGAGCTCCTAGTACCAGCCCTTAGTCCCACCCACCCCACCGCACCCAACCCCACAGAAGGCTCAGACCTCACATGGGGATCGGGGGCTGCAAAGCAGGAAAAAAGCCTGGAAAGGAAATTCTGGAGCACGAAAGGCTGGTGATAATCCATGAGGGGTTTGGGGAACTTCCTTCGGGCCAGGCAGCTGTAAACTCATTTAGCCTTCACAACAACTCCCGAGAGCAGATACTAATAGTATCCCCATTTTACAGATGAGCATGTTGAGGTGGAAAGGCCCTTCCAAGCAGCCTCCCTTTTCTGAGCCCCCAGGGTACACTGAAGTTCACATGCAGCAAGTGGTTTTGCCTCCTTGGCCTCTGTCTCCTGCTCGGGAGGCTGAGGATCAATTAACAGAGACTTTGCACAGAGTCTTGCATACAATGGGTGCTCAGTGACCGGCAGCTGTTGAGCTGGCCTCTTCCCTCTTATGGATGGGGAAACTGAGGCCAGGAAAGGGGAAGGATTGGTGCAAGGCCACAGACTGAAGGCTGGAAGCCAGAGTCCTGGTGAGACCCGATCTCAGGGCCAGGGTGGGCCAGACGCAGGAGCAGCAGATCCTAAGGATGGGGGACCCCGAGAAATGCCCCTCCCAACTCTGTTCTATAAATGAGCTTCTTCTACAATTTTCTTTGAACAAGTCACTTTAAAATCCTCCATATTCTGGCCTCTGCCAAGGCCCATAGAGGGACACCATCTGTCTTAGGTCACACAGCAAGCCTGGCCTCTGACTCTGCTTGTCTCCAGCCCAGCTTCCTTCTCTTTCTCTTGCTGCCTTATCCTGTGCCACCCCTTCCCTACCAGCTCACTTCAGAAAAGGCCATCTCAGGCCTGGGGCATTCCAGGAGAGAAAAGCAGGCAGAGGGTTCAACTGGGGGCTCCCAAGGGCAGGGCCGAACTTCATGCTCATAGAAGGACCTCTATACGGGAGGGTGGGTTGCTCTAGGCTGGGCAGGGCTGCACATGGAGGATCTCAGGGATGCCAGGCTCTGCCCTGCCCTGGGGACCTTCCCACCAAGCTCCAAGACCCCTGCTCACATGCCTCTACAAATAGGTGCTCACTTCTCTTTGGAGTGGCTCTTAAATGCTGCATCCTCACACTGAGCCCAATTGTGCCTCTGGTCCATCGGTCCATCCCAATTCTGCCCCTGGCAACTTACAGCAGGACTGTCACCTCCTTCAGTGGAAACTTTATACCTGCACCTCTATTACCATGGCCTGGGTTCTCAGCAGCCACCTTGCTGCTCTCAAGAGAAGGTCACTATCAACTAACGGTGGTAGTGGGAGTGTGGGGGGCAGGGACCAGGGATAACAGAACACCACGGATCCAGTGACTCGCAAGGACTATCCATCTGCTACAGCCATTTACTGTCCACATGCTGCCACTGATCTCCAGGCCTGCAGGGGTGAGGGCATCATCCCACTTTGTGGAGGAGAGAGCTGAGGCCCAGAGAGGTCAGTAACTTGCCCAAGGTCCCACAGAGGATAACAGCCCTGGCTAAAGCAATCGATCACCTGCCAAACCCCCTGTAAGTGCTTTAAACAGATTAACCCATTTCCCCCTCACAATAGCACCATGAGGTAGCTGCTTGTGTGTGTACCATTTTTCAGGCAAGGAAACCGAGACATGGGGTGTGTTGTCTAAGGTCCCACAACCAGGCAGGCTGGCTCAGAATCTTCTCTCTCCATGAAATAATAAACATGAAAGGGTTTTCTAAACTGCAAAGAGTCAAAGAAAGAGGACAGGCCACTCTCAACACGCCAGGCTGAGTACGCCTCGGGTGGGGGCAGTCCGGACAAGAGCTCTGGGATAGAGTTCAGGAAGCAGCCAGTTCAGAGCTGGCCACCTGCTTCTCTGTTTCATTCGCTTGGTGAACACACACCTGTGGCCCACCCTCCAGCCTTCCCAACCTTAGTCTGGCCTTCAGCAGGTGGAAGAATTAAACAAACTCCCTTTGATGGATCAGGACTCCCTCCACATAGTAGGTGCTCAATAAATATTTGCAGAAACATACTTTGCATTCCTGATCTCACTTGTGTGGATTCTGGGGTCAGAGTGCCTATGCTCTGTGTGACTTCAGCAAGTCACATGCTAAGATTCAAAGACACAGTTTCCAAGGAGGGGATGTGCCCTCACAGACCGGCTGCTGCCTTTGGATCACTCCCGCCCTCTGTCCACCCCTCAGCCACTGGTAGAAGAAGCTGTGGATGGAGTAGGGCAAACCTGGCGCGACCTCCACCCCAAACACACACACACACACACACACACACTCTCTCTCTCTCTCTCTCCCACAAACACCCTATTTGAAGCTTTTTCCGTCCTTTTCCTTCCGTGACTCCCTCAGCTGGCTCCAATGGGCCAGCATCCCATGGGGGAGGCAAGATCACCAAGCTGGTCCTGCCATCCCCTCCCAGCTCCTCACTGGCCTCCCACAGTCTGTGGTTAAACCCAGAGGGGTTAGGGGTTTGCCAAGAACCACAACCCCCTCAGGAGGGCTCCAGGGACTCAAGGCACATGTCTGACCTTGCTGCTGCCCCTCCCCCACCGGACAGTCCCCCTGTTAGTGGCACTTACGTCTGGGCTCTCGGGGTCCATCCACGGTCACCTTGATGGCTCGGTGGTAAGTGGCCACTTGGGTAGGGTTGGTGAACACAGTGATGGTCAGTGTGAAACTCTTCCCTGGGGGAAGTGGGCGATAAAGGCAGGAGGTTGGCACCTGGAGCTTTCACAACACCCTGGTATCCCCTCTGCACCCCACCCCTCGGAGCCCCTAACTTTCAAGATGGGGCAGGTGTTTCCCCTCTGAATCTGGGCAGAAGGTGGGGCTCTGAGTGAAGTTCAAGCTGCTGGGTTTGACATTCAAGGCTCCTGGGGATTTGGCACCAACTTTGTCACCCCGCCCCCATGCTCTGGCCACCCTGGCTTCTTAACCTTTCTTTATGCTGTTCCTTCTGTTCAGAGAGCCACACGATTTTGGAGTGGGAAGCAAGGACAGGTATATATACACAGTATTTTTTTTTTTATCTGAAAGTAATTAGTGATCTTTGTAGAAAATTTTGAGAACACAGAAAATATAAGAAAAGAAGAAAACCCCACCCACAGTTCCACTAGGTGGAGATAAACACTGTTACGATTTAGATGTTTTCTCTCCCAAACCTTTCTGTGTGGGTATGTGTATTTACACAGTGGCAGTGGCACTAAAATATATTTTTGTACCCTGTTGTGTTTTCATTTAACATCACATCAGAAGCACTTTCCCATGTCATTAAAATTTCTTTATAAACTTCATTTTTAATGGCTGCAAAATATTTCAACACACAGAAGCCTCATCTTTTATTTATCCACTTCCTTATTCTTGGGTATTTACGTTGCTGCTGATTTCTTATTGGTGTGTGCAGCTGGAGCTGGAAAAGGACTGATTTGGGAGCTGTAGACATTTCATTTGTAGACACAACTGTTATTTCCAGAAACCTGTTCTATTTTTAGATAGACACTTGGCTCCAAAGTCTCCATTCAAAATTCCTGCGAGGGGAAAAAACTTTTCAAAACTACTTTAAAAAAAAAACTATTTAAAATAAAGTGAAAATGACTTTCTGTGTATAAAATCTTTGTCTGCACCTCTGCTTAGTTCCTTAGAACAGATTCCAAGACATGGTGAGTGATTTCATCGCATCAGAGGGTTGGGACATATTTACGGGCGCTGATCTCTCTTGGAGCGAGATGACTCTCCAGAGACATCTATGTCATCATGAGCAGCGTGAGGCCATGTCACCCGAGCACCATCGGCTCTGCCACCCTGTCTATCAAGAAGGAAGATCTTTTCAACTCTCTTGATTTCATTTGCCTTTCTTCTGTTACCAGTGAGACTGAAACTTTTTATATGGTTATTATCTGTCATAATCCGACACAAATTATCACTTCGTAATCTTCTATGCTTTCCTGTTCAGGCGTTAGTGTCTTCTAAAAATCGCTGTATACGAAGCTTGTTAGCACTTCCCATGTCACGTTTGGGGTGATCAGTGTCCCAGCTCAGTGGCCTTTGCATCTCGCTTTCCGACGCTGAACTGATTTTCATTTTCAGCTCTATCTCTCATTTGTGACTTCTACCATTTTTATGTTTGGACAGGTTTCCACACAGAGAAAGCAGATAAGGCTTACTTTCAGTAAACAGCGTTCTCTCTAATTTCTACAGTGAGTTCTTTGATTTGTCTCGGGGTTTACTTGTTGGTATGGCATAAAGCAAAGAGTTTTCCTCATAGGGCAACCCAATTTTCCTAGCGCTTTAGTGGGAGTCCCCCTCTCGCCCTATTCCCTATTACAATCCAAAGCCTCACACTGTATGAGTTTGGTGGTGGTGGTGTGGGAGAGCTTCGCTGATCTCCCAAGTCAGAGTTCACCTACCCCTGCCTGTGCCTCTGTGTATCCCCGTCTCTGACCCCAGTAGAGGCCCGGGAACTCCCTAAGGGCAGGGGCCAAAGGCCTTGCACACCAGTCCCTCAGGGATAGCAAAGGACGGCCACCGAGGGAGGCTGCCCGAGTACCTCCCTCTGCTGTCCTCTCAACAGCTGTCCTCCCAAGGTGAGCAGGAAGGTTTCAACATCCCCATTTCATAGGTGGGAGATAAAGCTCAAGGTAGGGACCAATATCTTATGGTTCCCTTTGCACAGCTGGGTGCTTGTTGGTTGAGTGATCAAGTAAAAATTCTAGCCCCAGAAACAAGAGTCCAGAACAAAATTAAACCAGCCAGGCTACCAGGGGCCACGCCAAAGAACCCATGGGGTTTTGAGACGCCGGGGGGGAGTTTAAAGCTAAAGAGCAACTGAGGTATGGCTCCAACTGAGAAATAGGGTGCCTGCTCTGGAAGACTTTTCTTGAGCAAGCTGGCGGGAGGCAGGGTTGGAAATGCTAACGGCACTTTCCCCTGCAGCCCTGGGTCAGAAGAGCAACCGTCGCTCACTCTCACCCACTAGGGCTCTTTGCATGATTTCTGGAAACAGAAAGTGCAGATCGTCTAGGGGAATGCTGAGCAGGTGGCCTCAGGCTCCCTGCCTGTCCCTTCTGGGACCTTCCTTCTCTCACTCTGAGGTCATTTCCCTCCTGGATGCCCTCCCGCTCCAGCTAGCCAGGCACTCTAGGGGGCCCGGGGCCTCTGAGCCTGCCATCACTTTCCAGCACCTCCTCGGTTCTGTGGGGCACCACACTGATGTGGAGATGAGGCAGAGAACCCGGAGCCCTACTGGCCAGACTTGACACAGGGTCAATGGGCCCCGATCCCCTGCTCAGCAGCCCTGGACACAGCTGCACCTGACAACTTTCTAAAATGCTCCTTCAGGTCTAGACTGAAAAGCACCTTCTTAGTGAGGCCTTCCCTAGTCACTTTATCTAAATTAGGCCTCCAAGGACCCCTCTTAGAATTGAGTAGACCTGTGTACTGGGACAGGAAAAAAATGACAAATGTATTGTCTCTTGCCTCTAACCGAAATTTAGTATCTCTCTCAAGTAAGAACATAGACAACACACCACAGAGGTTTCAGCAGTACCTGTGACCACGTTGCCAACAGACCTCACAGATATTTACATATCGTCATCACCCCCCAGGTGCCTGCTGAGAGGAGAGAGGGAGTTGGTAGGACAGGAGGAGTGGGGCCTAGTAGCAGGAGTAGAAGCGAGTAGCAGGTGTCATGTGCCACAGGAGGCAGGGACCCGTGAATCAGGGGTAGGAGAAGGCTGTCCCCCGAATGCCCCACGACTCTTCCTGGCCTGCCCAGCGGTCTCTCTGCCTGGTGGTGACAAACCTACCCACCCCCCATCTCTCTCAGCTTGCAGCAGGAAGCCAAGAAGACAAAGGAGGTAGACAGCTCTGGGCAGGGGCCCCTAGCAAACCTGCCATCAGCCAGGAATCCAGGAACTGCAAATCCAGGCACTCCCAGGGCTGGCCCCAGATATTCCTGCAGGGTCTAGGGCCCTGGAGCAATCAGCAAGTCAGCCAGATCCAGCAGTGTGGCAGCAGTGTGGCAGCAATGTGGCTGTGGGCAAGTCCCTGAGTCTGCAGCTTGGGTTCCTATGTGATAAGCCCCACCCATAGGAGCTGCATGGGCAGCCAGAGGGGATGGAGGGGATGTGTCTCAGTCTCAGGGGACCTTTGGGCTTTCTCAACATTGGCCAAGCAGCCATCTATCCCCGCCCCCACCAGCAGTCCCCCCTAAGCTTGCACCCACACCTCTCACCCCAAATCTCTCTCTACATACTATTTCTTTTTAACTGGTTAATGACACTTCAGGAGCTTATGTGCTTTTCATTTTTGGCCTAGGCCAGTGGCCGCCTCCCAGAAGGCATTCTGGAGATTTGTGGTGGTGTGTGGTCAACACCATGCCAGGGCAGCACTGTGGCATTTAGAGATGGGACGTGTGTACAGGGAGGGGGTACTGCCAATGACTAGCATTGCACAGGGTGATGAGGAATTCAGTCTCCCAGGAAGTAAAAAACTTGCTTATAAAAATTCTCTGAGCCATGAAATTATCTCAGCTTTACATAAAATGAGGCTTTTTCTTTCTTTCTTTTTTTTTTTTTTTGCACTTTTCATATCCACTCAATTTTCCAGGAGGGAAGACGGTTCTTATTTATTGTTGCTTATAAAAATTCTCTGAGCCATGAAATTATCTCAGCTTTACATAAAATGAGGCTTTTTCTTTCTTTCTTTCTTTCTTTTTTTTTGCACTTTTCATATCCACTCAATTTTCCAGGAGGGAAGACGGTTCTTATTTATTTATTTATTTTTTAAATTTTGTTCAGAACTTTGCCAAGAGTTGTTAACAACTTCAGAAAACCATGGCACGGATGCATTGATGGCAAGCAAGGTGGAGTTCAGACCCTGAATCCTGCAAACCACCTGCCTGCCTGCTGCAGCGCTCCCGGGCTTGCGCACAGAGGGAGGGAGTCTGTCCACCTGTGTAGTCTCACCCCGACGTGTCCACATTCAAGTTTGCATTTTATTATAAATTGCTTTCCCCTTTTCCCTCCACTATAGCTATGGAATTATATAGATTTTGAAACTGCACGTAAATAGGTAGGTTATGTTACCTGCAAATCTCACTGTGGGACAATAAAGGGCGCATTACAAAGTGTTTATTATAAGAAAGTCGCGCTGCAGGGCAGGAACCTCAGCCCTAATCACTGCAGGGGACAGTGATGGCCTGTTTTTCTCTCCCTTTGTTTCTTGGTTCACTCCTTCAGCTTGTGGTAAGAACTCTGGGGTGTTACTTTGTGTGTGTCTTTCGTGGAAAGCTATCTTCCTGGAATTCAAACAGAATCAAGGACTAAAAAGTGAGGAAAGAAGCAGAAGTTTCTGCCTGGCTTCTTAGTCCCGGCAGAAGTCAGAGAGCCAGGGAAGGGCACTGGGTCCCAAACCCCAACTCGTCTGCCTCTTAAACTGGCTCCGATGGTCTGTACTGACCACTGATTTGTTCTCTCAGCTGGGAATTTCCCAATCGGTGGGACAGGCACAGCAGATGTGAGGCTGCATGCCACCGGACCCCTGCACCCTCCTTCCCCGCTGCCAGCCGCCTCCACCTCTCCCACTCAACAATTCACACCTTCTGGGTTTCCCCCACCCCCGCCCAAACCACACTGTAATCAGAGAATCAGTGACTGTCACCGCTCAAAGGGACCTCAAAGGCCTCCTTGGGTCCCAAGCATTTGAAGTAACAAAATCTCTAACATCTATCAGCTCTCAATATATGCCAACAGATAGACTTGTATCAGTGTCCTTAGTCCTCCCCAAATTTCATGACGTAGGTACCATTCTTATCCCCATTTTACACATGAGGAAAATGAGGCACAGAGAGGGCGAGTCATCTGTCCAGTGTCATCCAGCAAGTCACTATCAAAACTGGGACTTAAACCCAGACTGGGCGATGACAGAGCCCAGGCTCTTAAAGACCATGAGACTCCGGGAGCATGTCACCCTGTCAAGAGTTCCACAGGCATCAGAACTCCTAGTAGACCTCTTCCTGCCTCCCAGGATCACTGAGACTGGTGAGAGAATGGATGTGAGAGTGGTTTATAAACGCAGCCTCCTGCGTCTTCCAGGGCCACAGTCCCGTCCCAGCCTTAGCTGCGCCCACTACAAGAGCACACTGATAAAGGATGCTTTGGAAGCTTCCCCCCACCCTGCCACACGCTCCCCTTCAGGCCTTCAGGGGATGGGCGCAGGTCTGCGGGTATGAAAGCCACAAAGAAACCATTTTCAGTGCGTAATGGCCAGACGAGGTCTCAGTAACTCAGATAATCGTTGTCTCTTCTCTCTATATCTCACCTCCCAGGAAAGGGAGGAGGGTGGGAATGGGAGGGAAGAACCAAGTTCCTGACGCCTTGCTGGGCTTCTGGTCCGACTTCACTTTCTGCTTGCCTCACAAGGGGGCAGCAGCTATAGTGTCCCCCTACACCTGAGCCCGCAGACCCGGACACCACCCTGCAGTCAGTAGAGCCACCAGCCTCGCCTGGGATTAAGTTGCAAAGGGTTTGAGAGATTGGGGATGACAAAAGGGGCTTGGAAACTAATTGGGAGCAGCAATGAAAGCTTAATTCATAAAAGCAAACATTTTCCATCCATCAACCTGCAACCAGTTAAGGGCAACGTTTGAAAGAAATCTGTGCGTGGGGAAGGAAGCCAACAGGAACAGGAAATGTTTGAAAGAATGTAAACTATTTCAGTTTCATAAAAAGTAACAAGTAAACAGTTATTACATGCAAATAATGCCCTGGTTTTAATTAATGCTGAAAAGTCAAAATATGTTTGACATTTGTATGTATACATTGAATGCTGCAGAGGAAAAAATGGTGCCCAGATGCCCATTTTGGAGTGGGGCTGGTTGCTCAGGGGGAACTAAAACCCTGAGAAGGCCTTGTTTATTGGTGATGAAAAGTACAATTCTGCTTCAGCCGCTTCGGGGAGCAGAGGGAACCCAGCTTAGTTTCTTAACAAAGCTGGAGGGGCAGGCCTGGTGCTTGGGAAGGGCAACTCCTGGCTCCAGCCACTTCTTGGCAGGCTGGTCTTAAAGGGCCAGTGGACCCTTAGGTCTCCATTTTGCTGGGGCAGGGTTTCTAGGACTTCTTCATTCAGGAATTAAGTGATGATGGGTTTCAGGTCCCAGCAGCCTGCCACTCAACAGCCCCTGGAGGCAGCCACTGTGGCGTCTGGTCCTGCCTTCCTTCTGCTGCCCAAGGAAGATCAGACAGGCAGGGTGGCACACCAGCCCTGACTGCGGCAGGAGATTGCAGCCTTCAAGCTGTGCTTCCCAACATTCAGCATCCTGCACCGTTGTTAGTTTCTATTCTAAACCACCTCGGAGCTCAAAGAGCTGGGGAAACTGTGCCTTTGGGAGACCACGGTTGGGAAGAAGTGGCCTCCAAGCGTGGAGAAATTCTGCCCCTGTGGAGAGAGTGGCTGGCACTGCAGAGAGTGAGTGCTTGGGCACTGCAGACCAAGGACGTGTCCTCCAAGTCCCCTACCAAAAGACCTATAAGCTCCCTTTTTGAGTTTGTTAATCCACAGTCTTTCCCCAGCATCTTTTGTAAGACCACAGGTGCTCAATCAGGAAAGAGGGCTGGCATGGAAAGCTTCAGGAGTTAGTAAACCCCAGAAACTGGGATAAAATTGTATCTTTTTCTAGCAAGAGACTATAACTTCCCTTATTCTGTGACACTCTGAGGGATTACAAACTGCTGTTTTAGACAGAGCTGCGTCTGAAGACCTGTTTCTGGGGCTTCCACTTGGACACCAAGGCTTTTCGCTCACCTTCCTTCCCCCCATCTTCACCACTGCCAGTCGGGCTGGCAAAGTCTCTCTTTCTCTCACCTCGCCCACTGCGGCCCACGAAGCGAAGGTCATTGAATCTGGCCACCTGGTTCTTCATGACGGCAGAGGCATTGCGCAGTTCAGCGGAGTAGTTCTCATCGTTGCCTGCCATCACGGTCACTACGGTTCCATCTGGCACATCCCCCAGTGCCACCACCTGAGGGCACGGGGGCGGGGGTAGGGGGAGAGCTTAGAAAGGCAGAGGGAGGTGAGAGAAAAGAGGGGAGGGGCTGCACTGGGAAGCTCCCCTAGGTCCCAGGCGCACTGCGGATTTCTCTAATTTGAGGTGGAGAAGCAGCTTAAAAACAATAAAGACCTTCCTCCAAATATAACAGAAACAAGATGAAATCTCTACCCTCCATACCAAAATCCTAATCAATTGGTTAAGCATGTCCCAAGAAATCACCCTTTCAATTAAACTACATCTAAGTGAGAGCTGTGCATTAGCTCAGTCACTATGATGTGGGATGCACTTCCTCTGTTGTCTTCGGCTTAAGCAAAAGAGGAATCAACACGCTCCTAGCAACCAAGTCTCCAAGTAAAAAGAATATCAACAGTAATAATACCAGGGCTGCCCTTTACACTCAATATGCAAGAGCCACTTGGGGTACGAAATCTGTCCCTGAAATGTGGCTCAGGCACAGTTTACTGGCCTCTGCAGAGCCTGAATTCGTTATGCAGAGAAAATGCAAAATGCAGAACAAACTGCTGTTTTGAGAGGGGTCAGCCAGAAAACCCCTTTACAGCGAGAGGGGGGCTTTTGATAACATCTGCATGCACCTGCTGGGAATTGCAGGGTGAGGATGGGGATGTCCCTCTAAATACGTCTCCCCCACTCCCACCCCAAGGAGCAGGCAGTGGCAGATGCTTTCTGAAAAGGAATCAGACTCTAAACAGCCACAGCAATTTAAACGTGGCTGCCGCGTGCAAGGACTAGGGATCCAGATGGTAAAAATTTCAAGGAGAAAATGTTTGGGGTCTGATTAAAAAGGCCAGATTTCCTGTCAACATCCTGTCTTCTTTTAATTTCAAAGACTTCTTTTAAGCTCCAAGTGACAGTAAAACCTCCGATCTGACGATTAAAGTCACACGGGCCTGCTCCCCTCCTCCTCCCCAGAGATTTTCCCCCACGGTATTTTAGGATGTCGCACGGGAGACCTCAAAGAGCCACTCATCCTTTTTTCCAATTTGGAGTCGTCTTAATGGGAGCAAGGACGGGCTCGGCTGCCGGTAGACGCCGTTTCCAGGCACCTCTGCGGGCCTCCCCCCACCCGTCCCGCCGGCCCTTCCTGCCCTGCCCTTTCTCACGGCAGCTGTGAGAGGTTTAGGGGAAAACCAAGTCGTTTTCGTTTCATCTCGCTGCCCCCTTAAAAAAATGAAAATGAAACAGTCGCCTACTCCCTGATATAGAGAGATCATCTGAATGACTGGGGGCTGCCAGGGGTGAGGGCACCCCCAATCTCAGCCTGCCATTCGGGAGGCAGAATACCCCAGCGGCAACCGTTTAGGGTGCAGGGCCCCCGTCCCCGGCCTACGGTCGCCTCGAGTAAAATTTCAGAAGCCAGAAGCTGAGGGTGTAGCAGGAAGTGCTTCTGAAGCGGCGCAGGAGGAGGGGTGCTGGCAGTGGAGGGTAGGCCCTATTCGCTCTCCGCACCCCATCTCCGCTGTCCTCGCCTTGGTCCCGGGGATCCTCTTCCCGGATGCCCGCAGGGCTGTGTCCAAGGGATCCCGGCTGGGGGAGAGCGGAGCCCCACCCGCCGGTTTCCGCACGAACGTCTCTACGCAGGGCTCCCCGAAGCCCAGGCGGAGGGAGGCAGTCCCCCCAAAAGTCATCGTGCAGGACGCATCCAAGAGGGAACGCCGAGGTGCGAGGGCCGAGCGCGCAGCGACCGAAAGCGCCCTCGGCCCGGCTTCTCGGGCCTCGCCCCCGTCCCTTCCCCACGCCACCCGGGGCCTTGGCTCCTGCGGCCGGGGCGCCGGGAGCCCCAGGGCCGGTGTCCTCCCGCCCCGGGCCCCGCACTCACCTTGAAGGCGACGGGCAGCGTCTTGTTGCAGCGCCAGTGCGAGGGCAGCACGGAGCAGAGGAAGTTGGGGCTGTCGGTGCGCACGAGCTCGCCCGCGTGGTCCGCCAGCACGTCCACCATCGAGCG